GATTCTAGTTAGAATAGAATTTCACAAGACTAGTGAAATGCTCTTGCTTGATGACCTCCACAATTTTAATCAAATAGTCAATTTTCAGAACTTATCTTATTTGAATTATTATCATATTTAGTCCCACTTTCTCATCTTTGAAATACATTCTGCCCTTAATCTGAAGGAGACTACCCTTTCTTGCTTTGCTTCTTACCTCACCAGCTACTCCTTCTTCATCTCCTTTGCTAGTTTCTCATCTCTCTCACTCTTAACATTTGGAATCCCCAAGACTTAGTGCCCATATCTCTTTTTATTTCCACGGCCTTAGTGAACGCATCAAGTTTTGCAGCTTCAAATTTTGCAAATTTCAAAACTTGCCAAGAGCTCCCAAATTTATTTCTACAGCCCAAACTTTTCTCCTTTCTCTTTGGAGTGTCAGACTTACATAAACTGCCTATATGCCAGCTCCACTTACATGTTTAACAGGCACTCAAAATGTTTCATAAAACCAAAACCAAATTCTTGGTTTCTCCTTTACCAAACTTGTTCCAAACCCAGGCTCCTCTACCTAATTAAGTTGTAGCTTCATTCTTTCAGTTACTAAGGTTAAAATCCTCACATTCCATATTCTTCTCATACCTCCCATTCAGATCATCAGTAAAACTGTGTCATCTTTATGCTTAAATTAAACCTAAAATCTCACTACTTTTCTACTTTTCTATCACCTCCACTACTACCACCCAGGTCCAAACCACAATTAATGAATGACCTACAGACTATTTTCAATGGATAACAAAGTGATCATTGCAAAATTTAAATCAAATCATGTCCCTCTTCTGTTCAAACACCAGCACACCCCAGACTCTCAACTTATAAATAAAAGCCAGAGTCTTCGCAAGAGCCTGCTACTGCTGCTGCTGCTACTGCATGTTGTCGAGTCCGTTCACAGGGTTACTAAGGCTGTAAATCTCTATGTGAGCAGAAAGCCTCACCTTTCTCCCATGGAGCAGCTGGTGGATTTGAACTACTGACCTTGCATTTAGCAACCCAATACATGACCCACTACACCACCAAGACTCCTTTTGCAAAAGCTACAAATGCTATAATTATCTGCTGTACAGGGTCGCTATGGGTCGGAACCGACTTGACGGCACTTAACAACAACAACAACAACAGCCCCCTTAGGACTCTCATTTCATCTCATACAACTGTCCTCCTCACTCACTCTGCTCCAGCTATTGGGTGCCTTGTAACTCCCTAAATGCTAAGGAAGCTGGTCTCAGGGCCTTTGCACTAAACTGTCTGATCTTCTTCTTTGATTACTCTTCTACCAGTCATCCACATGGCTCACTTGCTTCAGAGGCCTTCTCTAGCCACCTGACCTTTGTCTTTACTTGCTGGATTGCTTACTATCTGAATCCCCCTAGGTACTGAGGAGCAGTGGAGGTGGTATGAAAGTAGTCTGGTTCTGTATTTAAACATAAAGATGACAAAATTTTACAGATGATTTGAATGTGGGATATGACTCCTACTGAGAGCAGGCCAATTTTCAGTGCTTAAAGTCTGTTGTTGTTGTTAAGTGTCATTTTAAGTCATAAGGACCCATAACAGGGTTTCTGAGGAGTGGCTGGTAAGTTTGAACTGCCAACCTGTGGTTTAACAGCCCTGTGGTCCAGTGCTTATCCTACAGTGCCACACTCTAGTACACATTAAATAAATCTCTACTGAATGAACAACCAAAACTAATTATTACATAGAACCAGGTCACCACTCTAAGTAGGCTACTTCCTTTGTCCTGGACCCTCATGTATCTGGTTAGTCACTAAAAGTTTGTTTGGCTCTGGCTTGAAAAGCATACATTACTAATCTAGCCACCATGAACAAATGCCTACTTTGCCAGGAGACCACAAGAACTGTCTGGTGCCCAGGTACCATTACTGAACATTTTGATCAAAGATTTCATAAAAGAATCCTGATCAAAACGGGAAATTCAGAATATAATATCAAATTCTCATGGGCTCTAGACTTTCTGGAGTCACAGAGGCTATGTGAACCTCTTAAACTATTACCCTGAGGTAATCTTTAAACCAATTCAAAAATATTCCTGCTTTCTTAAAAACAAACAACAGGTTAGCTTCACTAGTTAAAAATGCCTGCCTTGAGCATTATGCTCTTTAAAACAAATTACCTTTTGTTGTTAAGTTCTGACTCATAGAGACCCTGCATAGGGTTCTTGAGGAGTGGGCTGGCGGATCTGAACCGCCAACCTTGCAGTTCAATGTTTATCCTACAGCGCCATATACAGAACTGTCTATATGGGATCAAATTAACAACAGCAATTTAAAAGATAGGACAGGATGCTTAGGAGCAAGTGAGTTTATGATAAAGGAGGAGGAATATTTCAGAAAAAGGTGAGACTGGGTGCACAACTTGAAAAATGCAAACTATGGCACAAAACTGTATGTGTTGAATTGGTGTATATTTTGCTGTGCATATTCTCAACAACAAAAACAAAGTAAATAAAAAGACACTCAAACAGGCTGCAACAGTTTCTATTAAGTATCTGGTTCCCTAAAAATTTTTCAAAGCAATTTAAAAGTCAATGTAAAGTACTTGTTACAATCAACTGAGCTGCTTAGAGAGATTAAGATTTCTGCTGGCATTCCTTCCAATTTCAGCAGTTGGGAAAGGCATACATACAGATTCAAACATTTTTTTCTGGATATTTCTCTTCTAATTCTACCTCAATATTGATTCTCCTCAATTATCTATGCTTCATTATTTTCCATTCACTGTACAAACAGTTAAGTGTTCTGGTTTTCCACGCTGCCTAATTAACTCGTAGTGGTTACGAATCCGGCTGCAAACCTTAAGGTCAGCGATTTGAAACTACCAGCATTCCGTGGGAGAAAGATGAGTCTGTCTACTCCTGTAAAGATTTACACCCTCGGAAACCCTGTACAGGGTCGCTATGGGTCGGAACCGACTCGACGGCACTTAACAATAACAAATTAACTCTGCAAATAAAATTGCATGAAATCATAAATGAAAATTCTGGGAGAGTTCACATACAAATGTAGATTTCTTAATCTAAATTTTAAACTACTGTAGGCCCATTTACTTAGAAGTTTTGACTTTCTGTAGTCCCTTGTTGTTGTTGTTGTTGTTAAGTGCCGTCGAGTCGGGTCCGACCCATAGCGACCCCTTAAAGGGGCTTAATTTTCCATGAAGAAAGCACGTTCCAGATCTTTGAGTGATTGTTGCTGAGTGCTGTTGAGTCCGTTCTGACTCATAAGGACCCTGAATAGGGTTTCCGAGAAGGGGTCAACTATCATTTCCACTACTAAAGGCATTCTTAAAAGTTAGTCTTTGGAGTCATACTTTCACAAATCATTTTTACACATATGATCACTGGAGTCCTGGTGTGGCGCCGTGGGTTAATGCATCAGACTGCAAAGTCGTTTGAACTGCAAGATCTGTGGTTCAAGCTCACCAGCTGCTCCTTGGAAACCCTATACAGGGTCGCTATGGGTCAGAATTGACTCGACGGTACTTAACAACAACATATGATCACTTACTTTAAAAATGAGATTTTTTTTTATGATCAGGAAATACCAAGTGACAGATCATAAACACATGAAAATGTAAAATGCTTGTATTTTATAAGTGTTACAAAATTATTAAATTCATTGTGCCACAGCAACAGAGCTATTTTATATTCAAATTGTTGCTGTTGTCAGTGCTGTTGATTTGGTTCGGACTCATAGAGACTCTGTGTAGGGTTTCCAAGGAGCAGCTGGTGGGTTTGAATCGCTGACCTTGCAGTTTGCAGTGCCATGCTTATCCTACAGTACTCCCAAGTTTCCATACAGGGTAAATTAAATAGCTCATCAAATTTAGGATAACCGGAAAATGTACATTTCATATCTAGGCCTGTGGACTCTACCTTTACTGACCATTGTTAGTAAGCTTTCAAAAAAAAAAAAAAAAATCATAACTATTCAGAGTATTCTACGAGGGCGTGCGTCAATCAGATCCTGTATAATACTAACTTCTTCACTCAATAAACCTAGAATTGGTAAAATGTCATCTTCTCCTTGGCACTGGGCTTCAGATAGAGACCTCTTCCCCCCAACCTCAGTAGTAAAAGTCAAAATAAAGGAAAAGAAAAAAGCGAAAAGAATGACCCTACCCCAACTAATTGGGCACCATATTAATTGGGCACCATATTAAGTGTACCTTTACTACCCAGAAAACTTGAAAACTGCTCCTCTGAGTTCCAGGACCAACTTGACAGAAACTTCAGTTTTCCCCAGATTTCCAAACTGTGTTAGGAATCCCTGTAAACTACAGTAAAATGTAAAAAAATAACCCTGATGCCAGCCAAAATGCATTTCTATCTTCCCGGAAAAGTAGCAGTTCAAATAAGAATATGGATAAGTGTAAATGGTGGTGGTTGTTAAGTGCAGCCAGACAGCTCCGACTCCAACTCACAGCGACCCTGGAAAGGGTTTCTGAGGAGCGGCTGGTGAGTTTGAACAGCTGACCTTTCGGTTACAATGCTTATCCTACAGGGCCACAATGGAAAGATGGGATTTTAGGTTGGAACACAGCTACCCTTTCCCATATGGAGGAGGGCAGGAAAGGGTAGGTGGGTGTAAAGGATCTACCCCCACCACCCTTCCTTCCTTCTTTAGCACAGCAGGGTGAAAAGCCATTGAATGCCAGAGGGAAGAGACGACTATCACCTTCCCAGGCTGGTGGCACCGTTCAGCTTGTCACTGAAACCGGAATTTGAGAAGTGGAAAAGGAGGTAAGCAGCTGGAGAAGGGCGGGCAGTTCCTTCCGAGGCCGAGGTTACGAGGAGTCCCTAGCGGACTGGGTAGAGGAGGGCAGCGGGAGCCAAAAAAGAAAAAGTCCTGACGCGTGTGGCTTGTAGGGAAGAAAGGAGACCAGAACCGTCCCACTCTCTCATTTCCGTCCGCACCCGCACGTTTTGTCCGGCCGGTCCCACTTACCTGCTGCACCCCGAGGAACTGGTAGAAGTTGAGCTGCACCTCCTCCACCAAGTCAAACAACTCCAGGTCTCCGCTCTCCCAGCCGCGCGCAGGACGCACGGCCGCCAGCAGCAGCAGCAGCAACAGCAGCGGTGAATATGGCTGTGGGAACTGCACAAGCCGGAATCGGCGGCGCTGAGGAAGCCAGTCGCAGAGAGCCGTCATCGCTCTAGGCTCGGAAAGGTCACTCGCCACACAGTGCCGTCGGCCGAGACCGGGGACGTGGCGGGCAGTGGGGAACCGTGCCTGTCAGTCAGAAACACAGTCAGCAGCACCAAAGCCGTCCGCCTGGCAGCCTGCCCCAGCAGGGAGGGCAAGATCGATGGCAGCGGGTGGGCCAGCAGACAGGCAGGGCAGCAGCTGGTTCTACCTTCTGGGGACCCTCACCTCCCGGCCTACAACAGCTGGAGAGTCAGCGCCGGCGCCGTGGTTGCAGAGGGGGGAGAGGCTTCCCTTCGCCTCAGCCTATCACTGTCCTAGTTTCCGGTGACATCACGTCTCCTAGCAACGGGAAGAGCAGACGGGACCGGAAGTTGAGAAGACCGGGTGCCCCAGATCTGGGCCTCTTAAGACACTCCAAAGCGTGCTGGAGCTGAGTATGCGTTTTCATAGAGACAAGGACAATTATAGACATCGCGCATCTACTTGGAACATCCTACGTATAACATTAGTTGGAAATAGCTTTCTACCCTGCCCCAGGTGTGTGAAGCTAAAAGCATATTTGAAACCGGATGTATTGATATGGCCTCTTGTTTCATAAATCCAAACCCACGGTCATTGAGTCGGTCTGTATAGGGTTTCCTGCAAAGCGGCAGATGGGTTTGAACTGCCAACCTCATAGTTAGCAGCCCAGTAGCTAGCTATTCTACAGTGTCACCAGGCTCCATAGTCCATGCATTTCATTATCATACAGCAAACATCTAGGAGTTGAACTCAGGGTCTAAGTGGGACAGATCTAATGAGTAGCAGTGGTTATGTGCGGTGGAGTCGGTTCTGACTCATAGCGACCCTGTATAGGGTTTCCGAGCCTGTAAATCTTTACCAGAGCAGAAAGTCTCATCTTTCTCCCACAAAGCGCCTCTAAAGATTACAGCTTAGAAAACCCATTGAGGCAATTCTGTTCTGTCTTAAAAGTTCATTGTTTGTTTGTTTTATTGTGGAGAAAATAAATATAGCACCATAATGCTAGTGAAATAAATTAGTCACACAAGGAAATAGGCCCATTTATATGAAACATCTAGAATAATCGCTGTAATAAGTTTTACTGAAATTAAAGTTTATTACTGATTACCAGAGATGGGCAAAGGAAGACACAGTGCTTGAGGACACTGAGCTTCTGTTAAGGGTAATGGAAAGATATGTTGATATGTTGTTAAGTGCCGTCGAGTAAATTCTGACCCATAGTGACCCTGAATAGAGTTTCCAAGGAGCGATTGGTGAGCTTGATCCACACCTTGCAGTTCAAACAACTTTGCAGTCTGACGCATTAGCCCACAGCGCCACACCAGGACTCCTTAAACAACATGGGGGTTAGGATTGCCAGATCCTAGCATAGTCAAAAATCTGTAACTTCTGTCTCCCAAAAAACTTGACTAATAGCCTACTGTTAACTTGAAGCCTTACCAATAACATAAACAGTCGATTAACACATATTTTGTATGTTATATATATTATACATACTGCACCCACATAAAAGCACCCATGTATAAACCAGTTGCCATGAAGTCAATGGAAACTGAAAAAGTATTTCACAAAAAGTGCAGCAATGGCTTCATAAATTTTTCTTTTTTTATAATGATCCTTACACTGGATTTATTTATCTTAAAATAGTGTGCAACTACACTGCAGACCTCACTCTACAGTGCACATTAAGCATTTCATCATTTTCTTGTAATGTCATGATTTTTCTTTGCTTCTTGGGAGTACTTCCAGCATCAGTATTAGCACTTCCTATTGATCCCATGGTGTTATTAAAAGTTTACACTATTATAGTAAACACGATGAAGAATATGTGATGAAGAATATGTGAGAATTGCTAGAGATCACTTTTTAATGCTCTATGCAATTTACTGGAGAGACTAACTGTTCACACAGACATGATAAACATCACACTTTTTTTGGGGGGGGGGGGTTTAAAATCTCCATATAAGTGGGCCCATGCAGTTCAAACCTGTGTTGTTCTAGGATCAGTTAATGGCAGTGGTTGAACAACATGATGAACATAACTGAAGTCACTGAACTGTACAGGTTAATATTGTTGAAATAGCAAATATCTTGTTATAAATATTTACCACAATTTAAAATACACACACACACACATATATATAGTATAGCAGAATGTTTGCTAATTCAACATTTTTTCACATGTACAATTAAGAAACATTGATTCAATTCCTCATACTGTGTAGCCATTACCTCTATCCATTAACAGAAAAAGCATTGCTTCTAAGTAAGACTCCCTCTTCACCCCTCCCTCTCATCACTGTTAGTCACTCAATCACTCATAAACGTTGGTCTCCATACATTTGCCTATTTTAAATAAGTGGGATCATACAGTATTTATCCTTTTGTGAGAGACTCATTTCATTCAGTATAATGTTTTCAAGATTCATTCATGTTATATATAGCATGCATCAGGATTTCATTTCTCTTCATGGCAGAGTAATATTTCATTGTATGTGTGGAACCACCTTTTGTTTATTGGATTATTGCTGGGCATTTGGGTTGTTTCCATCTTTTGACTATTGTGAGTAGTGCTGTACTGAACACTGGTGTGCAAATTTCTGTTTGTGTTATTGCTTTCAATTCTTTTGGTTATATACCTACTTTGGAGATTGTGTGAGGTCTGTTTTTAAAGACATATAAGCTGAAAAAAATTCTGTTTCCCACCAACATGACACCTTTGAGTTTTACATTGCTTCTTTTCAGTCTATTTTTTAATTCATATTTTCCTCCATTACTATGGCTTTATCTTTTCTGGCTCCCTACTCTTATTGAGGTAGATGTTATGGTTAGTTGCTGTTGAGTTGATTTCAATTCATGGTGACCCCCCATATGTGAAAAGTACAATTGCTCCTTAGGATTTTCAAGGCTGTGACCATTTGGAAGCACACTGCCAATCCTGTCTTCTAAGTTGCCTCTGGGTGGGTTTGAACCAGCCACGTTTGTCTGCTACTATAATACTTCAAAACTACAACGAGATACCACTTCACCCCTATTAGAATGGCAATGATTTTAAAAATTTTTAAAGGAAAACAAGGTTGCAGAGAAACTGGGACTTCATCCATTGCTGGTAGGGATGTAAAATAGTATAGATGCTATGGAAAGTTGGGAAAATCTGTTGCAAAACATGTCACTTTGAGGACAAAGGTGCCTGAACCAAGCCATGATGTTTTCCAATGCCTCATATGCATGTAAAAGCTGGACAATATTTGAAAACTGGAGAAGATTGGATCCATTTGAATTATGGTGTTGTTGAAGAATATTGATTATACCATGGACTAAAGAACTAACAACACAGTTTTGGAAAAAGTAAAGTGGGATTGCTCCTTAGAAGTGAGGATGACAAGACTTCAGCTCACATACTTTAGACATCAAGTTATCAAGAAGAGCTAATCCCTAGAGAAGGACATCATGCTTAGTAAAATAAAGGGTCGGTGGAAAAGAGGAAAAGTCTCAACAAGATGGAGTGACACAGTGGCAGCAACAGTAAACTCCAACAACAATTGTGAGGTGATGCAGGACCTAGTGGTGCTTCGTTCTGTTGCACATAGAGTCCTTATGAATCAGAACTGACTGGAGGGCTTCTAACAACAACATAGCTCAGTAATTTGCTTGTCCAAATACCTACTCAACAAACTTATATCTAGTTGACAAAGGTTAGCAAATTATTAGTTTTTGGAAGCACCTCTTTGGAAAAGAATCCCTTTCGTATTGCACAGGTCCATCCTCTCAGCTATCCAAAAGTAGACCATTACTCTGAAAAATTTTAAAAACAGAAATGAAATAATGTGAAGCAATTACCAGTCATTTATATGGAAAAATGTTTTGAGCAGTCTCAGACTCACAAAATAATTTACCAAATAACACGTAGAACCTAAAATAACACTAACATATAGTGTTCACAGTTCAAACTATGGTGCCTTCAACATGAGTATAGTTCCTGGGGAAGGAGCTTGGCAATGCTACTCTGGATGCTCTGTGTGCATACTGCCTTTCTAATGACTTGCTGCCAAGTAAATGCTGAATGCTAGTTTTTGTTTTGCCTCTTTTTTTTTTTTTTTCATAAAAACAAAAATCCTCTTTGGATTTCTGGCAGTTACTGAAAACAGGTACAATTGTAGGTATTTTGTATAAGTGAAGTAGTATAAAGGAAAACTTTTGAAAAGCAGGGATATCAGTACTGACTTTCAATCATTTTGAAGTTCCTCATAAGTTAATTCAGATATTCTTCATAATAAATAATTCAGCTTTATGTTAGTCCTAATACACAAACATTATGATTTCATTTTGCAAAACGTGCTATTTTACTCAAATAATCTCATAGTGAATATGAACAGAGATTTTAGAGCCAGATGGATTAGATTTGAATGCTAGTTACCCTTTACTAACTGAGAGAGCTCTATGTCTCAGTTTCCTTATCTGTAAAACTCATTTAATCTCTGGTAGCGTAGTGGTTACGAATTGGGCTGCTAATCTCAAGGTCAGCAGTTCGAAACTACCAGCGGTTCTGCGGGAGAAAGATGAGGCTTTCTGCTCCCATAAAGGTTTACAGCCTTGGAAACCCTATGCAGGGTCACTATGGGTTGGAATTGACTCAACGGCACTTAACAACAAGGCATAAGACTGTTCTGGGGGTTAACTGAGAAAATTGGTGCCTGGAATATAGTAATAGGAGTCCTGGTGATGCTGTGGGTTAATGGGCTGGACTACAAAGTTGCTTTGAACCGCAAGGTCAGTGGTTCGAGTTCACCAGCTGCTCCTTGGAAACCCTATACAGGTTGCTATGTGTTGGAACCAACTTGACAGCAGTTAACAACAACAACATTTAGTAATTGCTATTTATATGTTAAGGAACATAAGCATAGTGGTTATGAGTCGGGCTGCTAACTCAAAACTACCAGCCATTATACGGGGGAAAGATGAAGCTTTCTTCTTCCTTAAAGATTTACAGCCTCAGAAATCCTATGCAGGGTCCCCATCAGTCAGAACTGACTCCACAGCACACCACCATTTATATGTTACTTATCATTTTGTGGG